GCCGTTGTTTGTAGTCAGTCTGTGCGATCTTCTTGCAGCAGCTAACTAGGCGGTCCACTGTGTCTTCAGCTTCTTTGCAGAAGCAGCATTTGCTGTCTCTTACTGACTTCTCAATTCTGGCTTTGTATGCCTTTGTTCTTAACATATGTTCAAACTGCATTCTGCTTGGTTTCCTGAAATGGAGCTGCACCCACATTAGTGCCTTCTTCAACCTGGGGCTGTCAGCTATGTTGAGTTGCAGTTTTAATACTTCCCAACTAGTGTGCATGCAAATGGGAATTATGGAGGTTTGCTCCACTTGGAGAGCTACAGTATGGAGGAAATCAACTTAAGCTATACATCAGAGCTCTGTTGAACCTGATGCATGACTTAGTTGGCCATGATGGTATTGGGCTGTTTCTGTACAGTTTTGGAAATCAGGTTTCTTCTCCAGAATAGAGAATCTCAGTCACTAATAGTTAAAGGCAGAACTTAAAGTACTAATATGTATGTAGAGACTGCACTGTCGTCAGCAGCATACGGATAACACAGAAGAAAAATTATTTGAGGACAGGCAGGATTGCTTTTATCAATCACTTTCTGCTTCTACAGGTTGGTGAAGACTGCCTCATAGTGAAAATTATAAGAAACAACTCTCCTGCTAGCAGCTGTTTTTAGGAAAAAAGCAGGATTAGCTTTTTTGCCAGGGAGGCTGCTTATTCAGGCAATAAAGATTGCCCTTACAGAAACATTTTATGTATTTTCAAATAGTTTGAATGGACAAGATGTTTACAAATAATTTGCTGCATTGAAATCTCTTTGCTGTTGACCTATTTTCAAAGCAATGCTCATTCATGCTACCCAGTGGCATCTGTATGAATATTCTTGTGGAAAAATATGTCCAGGGTATTTTAATTAAACTTAGAAATGTACAGTCTCCTACCAGCTTAGTGTAACTATAGCACTAGCTAGGACATGCTGCAATCCTAAACCACCAAGATATAAACCTAAAAATAAAATAAATACAATCATTAAAATGAAACAAAACAACTCCTTTCAGGCATCACCAGTAGGAAAAAGATTGCACCACAATTCTGGTCTGATCTTGGTGCCAGACAAATCACATGCTGGTACAAATGGTGTCTGGGAGAAAGTACACAAATGGTAATCTTATGTTGGGCAGTTGGGATAAATTGCAAATTCTGCTGTTGAATTGTCCGTCCCTGCCTAGCAGTTTCCCTGCCTGAGCTGATGAAAATGGACTTGGATTTGGTGTTATGGAGCCCTGAAGTTATTGCTCAGGAGAACCTCAACATTCATCTGGAAGCCATGGATTTGGGACAGACCAAGATTTCATAGCCACTTCAGTTACCATAAGGCTATTGCATCATGGGTAATGGGCTGTGAGAATAACCTTGAGAGACAAGAGGAACAGCTACAGCCTAGACAATAGAGAAATCTGAGTCCAAAGCAGGAATGGGGGTGGAGAAAGTAACTCAGAACTGACGGTCCCTAGTTCTTTAGAATGTAAAGGCAGGGGAGGGGAGAAGCGCTTTCAGATTTGCAAGATTCTGTTACTGTAACCTTACAATAAAGGTAGTATTAATATTCTTGGTTTTAGTTTCCTGGTTTGGATGACCTTGAAAGGCTGACTTCATATGATCAGCCTAAATTGCATGGCACAATAGTCTACCTTTTTTTTTTTTTGGATAGAGACCTGAAGGTGGTGGTGAGGAGGAGGAGGAGGAGGGGGGGGGATTTTCATTTTTTTCTAGACAATAGCAAATCTCATCCCAGACCGCACCATCTGGAACAACATGTTGAAAACACCTTGAATTGGTTCACATTTGTAGGAGTTACTTCTGAAACTCTCAAACTGTCCCCAGAATGGAATGGACCAGGAGGAGGATCAGCTTGATCTGCAGAGAAATGGAATGTTCTGCAGTTCTATGGAATGTTATATCCTGGATCAATTAATTTTGCACATCTCTACCCTGGTGATTTAGTGGAATACAGAGAAGCCCCACGTGATTTATATGTTCATGCCTAAGCAACCACTCCTTCTATGCTGCACCAATGCAGCTCTTTCATATAAATCTAAGTTGATTACAGTAAATGGGGTGAGACAATGTTAAGAATGTGGGTAAAGGTCAGTTTATGCTAATCTGACTGAACACAAGTTACAGCCAATGATTGAAACTACTCTGTGCAAAAGCTTTCTTTTCCAGTTGAACTTTATCTTCATAGTATCCTCCACCAGAAATTTGGAGGATTATTACTATAATAGCTGTGCTCTGGAATTAAATGGCTGAGACAGTTTATCCTCAGTCCTGGCTGCAGCTCTGCTTCTTCTCTGTCACAGCACTTCATTCCTACTGTATTCATTCCTATTAATACATTCAATATTAATGAGCCATACTTGTTTCAGTCCCACATTCAAACACTGCAAGTATCTCTGGACTTATATCCTTATCCCAGGTGTTCTTATACTGGGGTCATGAGTCCCTGGGCGGTTGCAAGTAAATTTGGGAGGGGAAAATCACAGATTTTGTGGGGAGGATTTGCATGAAACTGGAGTCCAGCCAGGCTTTGCTGCCATTCTGCATGGGCAATCTGGCTGTCCATTCTATTCTATTCTGCTGATTGTTTTGGTTGTCCCAGTAGCAGCATCTGTCCAGTGTGGGGCTGGATTTCCAAGATCTCACAAGCCCACCATTGACCATACCATCACCCATCCAGCCTTCCTTTATCTTCTTTCCTTCAATCAATGCCTTCTCCTTCTCTCCTCAACTGGCAAAGCAATACCCAAGGAACCCAGACTATTAGCAATCCATGCCACTCCTGGCCTTGTGAGCACCAACTTGGTGGAGTAGAATCTAAAACAACTCCAAACCCTCACTCAGCTGCTTTCCATCTGTGCTGATGCAATCACTATCAGAACTCATGTAGCAATAAATTGGAACAATTAAGGCCTCTACCATTATTTCCGGACGAGCAAGTCACGTATAAGAGAACAACTGCCATATATATTGCATACACATGTCAAGAGGGCTTCAAAATAGGGAAACGACAATTCAGCATTTCAAGTCAGCTCTTAATGCCTATTTAGGGAATGCATATATGCAACAATGTAATATTTTGCTATATAAGGTAGAAACATGCATTTAACCAATAGATGCTTTACATCAGGCTTGTCTCTAAACCTATAAAAACTGTAACATTTTAAACCCTGTTATCCATCTTGCAAGACAGGTCGTAAATATTGTAGCTTTTTTCTTTCTTTTTCTTGGTTAGTTTCCTCCATGTATTAAGTACAGAATCATTCTTCCACAACTCAGGGATCCTTAGCACTCTCGCCACTTGTGATAAAACTGGATTGTGCATCCTTCTGGCCATAACAACCCATAAAAGAAAAGTCAATGTTAAAATTGATAATTTTGGATTACTTGTGAGCCAAATCTAAGATGGGTAATATCAAAGCAAGAATGCATCATGGAAGTTCCTATTTCTAGGCACGCAAGGTTAAATTCAACCTATATTACAAGACAATCCTATTTGTGTTCACTCAGAATTAACTCTATGTTCAATAGAGCGGAGCATATAGGACTTCAATTCTAAATGTAATTAGGTCCCATGAAAATGGACAAGACTGAAATTGGCCACATTTAACTTTTATACTGATTGCAGCAGGACCCAAGTGCAACAAACATAGATTGATTCCAACCCATAAGCCAGAACTTTATATGCATGGAGATCTTCTAAAAACAGGCTTCGCTTCAATGGAGCTAGAAGCTCTGCACCTGCTTTAGAGAAGCTAGAAATCATCACTGGATTACAGGAAGCTAGAGACAATAAAATTCAAAGTTTATTATTAATGTTAATGCGATTATATTCTATGTACTGTCATTTCCAATAAGGGGAGAAATCATCATCTTTGGATTGTACTTCAAAGTTCAGTAACTGAAGAACCATTGTCCATTTTCAAGGCATGGAGTATGTTGAACAAAATGAAAAAGATAAAACAAACTGCCAGGGTGGCAGAATTCAGCATATGTTACTTGTCATGGCTCTTATGATGATACTGCATTTACTATTTCCCGCCCCAAAGGAATAATATGCTTAAATTAAGAATCCAGCTATAACATAATGTTTCATTGCAACTTGCTATGATATATTGTCATCTCCAATCTGAAAATTGGATAATATGACAATTTTGCTTTCAGGATACATTTTTTAAAAAAGGAACATTACAAATTATCAAAAGAATATGATACATTCGACCTACTGAGGGCGGGATGAAGAAATTCTAACAATTTTGCTATATGCTACTTGATATTTACAGTATGCAAATCATACAAGTCAATTGCAGTTTATACAGTACTATTCCTAATTGCTTTCTCATATGTTACCCAAGTCCCAAACAGTTTATAATAAGAACAGAGATATGAAATATAAATAGTATATTTACATGAATAATCAGCTTCCCTTTAAAATACAGACTGCTATTTTTGCCTTGGTGCTCAAATCCCTGAGAATATGTAATTAACAGAGAAGGAATTAACTGATTTAAACCAACCAGGGCTACCATTCATTTCATCCAAGTAAAGCAAGTCACATCCATGTTTAGAGGTATTATAAGTTAACGTAGCTGCCTACACAAAACTTCCCTGCTGTTTAGTGGAAAACTGCATCCTTATTTTTCCAGTTCCCAATAGAAAGTTAACATTTCTCAGAATCTGAGAACAAAAGCATTTTTCATCACAACCCACATAATGTAACATACTGTGTAACATACCCACTAGACATAACCCACATAATGTAATATACTGTGTAACATACCCACTTAATTTGGCTTGACAAAAACATGATGTCTAGAAATGGCAACATACCGTAATATGGAAAACGATAACTTTACAGCATATATATCGTTGTGGGGTGACTGCCAGAATTTCACATCCACTGGAAAAGCAAGGATTCCCATCACAAATTACATGACCCTTCATCAAGTAAGAAAACCATCTAGTTAAGAGAACATGATAGTAAAAGAATGCCTAGTGATAAGAAACAGTAATAAAATGGCTTATACAAAACAATGACAAAACATGATACACAACTGAAACAGCAGGCTGATCTTACCCAACATGTAGATGTGTGCATAGCTTGCAGTTCAAATTACATTCACTGTCACCACTACCAACCTGTCAAACAAGGCTGGCATGATGGGTAAGCTAACAAAAGGTGCCAAGCATATAGAAGACAGCACATCACCTGATCAGGTCATCATTAGGCTAAATCTGCATAGATATGCTTCGGTGTTGTCTTAAATGAGAAAGCCCCAACACAATCCAGGGGCCATTCTGGTAGAAGAGAGAAGGACCCACTGGTAAGATGGCATTTATGCTGATGGAGTCCCCCAAACCAGCTTTGTCCCAAGGTGTCTGCAGAAAGCTTTGTAGATCTCCCATTAGCTGTGATCTGACAGAGGAAGCAGAAATGGGACACTGGGGGGCGGGGTGCTGAAAATCTGATAAATGCCCTCACTCTTGAAGTCCTTAGCTAAGACAGTCTCCAAGCTGGTGTAATTAATTCCCTTTCATGCCCCAAGGACAGGAAAAAAAGAACAAGAAGAAGGATAAGGATAAGATAAGAAAAAGCTATCTTCAGATACTTATTCTGGCCACTGAAAGTTAACAGGGTTAAGGACCTGATGTCAGTCCTTTTCCTCCATTTTGAAGCTCCACCCAATTACTATATTAATTTCCAATCTCAGTTTGGTTGTAGGCAGTGAACTAAACAAAGTAACTATCCAGAGGTCCTTCACTTTGAATTTCACATGGTGAGAAAAAGAAAAGAAATTAAAAGATGCTCCCTTGCTCCAGTTTGAAATGCTGTTAACTGTCTATAATGTCAAAGTTGGAAGGTAATTTTGCGGTTTCAATACAAAGGTAATTTCATGGTTTTGTCTTTTTCTATTGAAACAAAAGCATTATTTCTGAGGGGAATAATGATATTTACAAGTGGGAAATTCCCTCAAGTTGGAATATTAACAAAAATTATTTATAAAGTGCCTCAAAGTTCTAATTGCAGTACTGTACATTCAACACAGAAACATCCGTTTTCCTTTTTTCTTTTTTAACATGGCCTCATGACCTCAAGGAGAAACTATTTCTAAAAGAGCATGGGTATATAAATGGGTGATGGAAAAGAATAGATTTCATGCACCAATCATTCACAAAATGATGTAAGACCATTGGCTAAATGTTTCTCTAATGAATTCCAAGCTCACTACTTTGAATATTGAATATAAAAGCAGGATATAAATGCTTAAAAAAAAAGAAATAATACAATAAGCCTCTGGATTTCCTGAGTTATCAAATCATTGCATTTCATCAAGATGGTAAAATGCAATTTTCTACAATAATTCTATTGACCTGAATACAGGTGTTTATGAATGACAGCATTTGTGCCAAGCTAATTACAGAATATCCCTGAATTTTAAAGATTTGCAATTTTTCACCCAAGTAGATCATCAGACAGCTATATCCAGATACTGATTTTAGTTTCCTAATTCTAGAATGCCAAAGTTTTCTTTGAAATGTCTAACTAACAGTTCCTAATAATTTATATCCTAAAGATGCCAGAGTGCCCTAAGTTTGCTTTAAGCACATTCTTATAGATGACCCAGCCTATGTAGAATGCTAAAGGCTTCCCACTTTTATGGACTGATTACCAACTCCTTAATTCTCATTGTGTTCTAAATCTAGCCCTTGTAATTCAGATTTGGTAGCGCTAGACAAAGACACAGAATGTAGGCTTCTAATATGAAAACTATAACAACTGCAATGCCAGTTTTCCAAGTTCTGCTCAATCCAAATCAGTCAGTTCAAGACTTAGAGCACTCCTGCATTATATGATGTTAGGTATGTATTTCCAGTCCTAGAGTCCATGGCCATTTGGTTATTTGCACTGGAAAGGACCAGGACCAACTATGGCACAGGGCAGAGAGTCAGAATCAAAACTGACACATTTTTTTCCTAGTGTTCCTGGCATAGCATTAAAACACCACTTTGGGACAGAAGAAGTAAGTGCTATTAAGAGCTCATCTATCATTCCTATAACTAGAATGGAGTTGATTCATTGCTGCAGCTCCCTTAATAGGTACAGCTAACTTTCAGAATTCAATGATGAATTCAGCAAAGGAAGGGAGAGCAGTAGAGGTAGTTGTGATACTAATCCCTTACAAGACAGACCCTAATTTGAATGAGATGAGTAGCTTGGATATCCTGGTTGAGTTTTACAGTTGCAGGTCTATATTCTGCTCTTCACTGTGTTGGAATGAATGCTCCAGCAAGCTCTGAATGGTCCAACTAAATAATACTAAACTCTTCAGATTGGAACCACTGCCATATTTGGCCTGTTACTCAGCAAATAAGCAACAGATCTACTCTAAGGATCTTGCCATAAAGATAGGCAGAACCCAGCTAGATTAGATAGCACCTCTGCATTTAAAACACAAAACAAGTATTTTTTTAAAACTGTATATTAAAAAAAAAAGAGGAAGCATGGAGTCCTTTCCCAAGTATGGAAAAAAACAAAAACAGATACAGCTTTCTGGGGAAAAGAGCAACGTAGCTACATTGATGGACACGTTCCCTGAATGTGCAAAGCACTGTTCCGGCTGAGATCAGACCACTTCATCTGACTCCAGTCCATGTTCTTCGTACAGTGCATCCAAGATGTTGAGCTGTTTTTCCATGGCTGGTAAGTAAATGTTAAGGTCCCGCTGCATTCCATTAAAAAAAGCTTCTTCTTGATTATCACATTCTCTAAGTGACAATGCAGCCACAAAGCCTTCATACGTGGGAGATGCTCTTAGAGCTAGCTGCCAGGAAAAGGGGAAAAAAGGATGTCAGCATGGTCTCTTCTAATTTCCACTTTATGATTTTTTTAATCATTTCCACTGGATGAAAAACAGATGGAGAAGGAAGATATTTTTAGGTCTGCATAACAGTGAAATAGAACTAAAGATGGATTCTTTAAGAGTGGTATAAGCTCTGTATAGAAGTCTACAATCTGAAGCCTCATGGCTACATGTAGACCACGTTTCCAGTTGGCTTGAGCATCTGGCCTGCCTTCTAAAGCTTGTTATCAAAAGGTAATGTTTAAAGTAGTGTTTCTCAACCTTGGCAACTTGAGGATGTACGGACTTCAACTCCCAGAATTCCCCAGCCAGCATGAAGTTTAAAGTAACAGGAGGATGTAATTATTAACACACAGGAAAGAGTGTGTATGTAACAATCTATCACTCACCCAGGCAGAACATCTATTTTGTAAGGAGAAAAGGCTGAGGTTCTCTCTTACTTCCAACATTGCCTTCCAGGTTCCAGGTTCTAGGTTTAAGGTTATTGCTGGCTGGGATAATGAGAGTCATATTTCAACCCAGCTAGAAGGCACCTGATTGGAAAAAACTGCTATACAATGACTTACTTGCAGCTCCGTTACCAAGAGTTCAGGAACTGAGAGGTGTAGTTAAATCTTAGCTTAAATATATGCAAACTGTTTTGCAGTCTCTATTTCCCAAATTCCTTTGAGTCTTATATTGTTCCTCTCTGACATCAGCTTTTCAACATGGAGAGGCCACTAAGTTGCAATGGCAGCACGGTGGTTGACCTAACAAGATAACATTTTTCAATCATGCTTTGTACTCATTGGTTCTCCTGTGACGCTTCTTCAAATGCAGAAGGAACAGAAAAATGTACCTCTAAGTTTTCCCAATCCTCACCCTCCCCACCACCAGAATGTCCATTATGTTCAGCATCATCTTTCACATGAAACAACCAAGAGAGCTATCAGTTTGATATCCAGAAGTACTAAGGGAAAGAAGAAAGACAGCCCAACCCAGAGTACCCTCCCAGACAGCTATGGATTTCTGCACTCTTTGGTGAAGTGGAAATATCACAGCAATAGCTAAGAGCACTGTGGAGTCCTTGGGGTTCTCTGAGCTTGGTTGTTTTCTTGCAAACGTTTC